CATAAACTTTCGCGTCTCTTGACATGTGATGAATGATATATTTACGAATTCCATGAGGCTAATTTGTTCTACGGAAGGAGAAAAGTGAAATAATTTACATTTACGTGAACAAATTATTTACCCCATTATTTTTAACGAAAACTTTCAGCGGTCTAATTTATTTTTATTTTTTTTTTTTTGTACTTAGCTTTCACCTTTACGTTTATGATGCTTTATGGGAAATATATTGTAAAGAAATTAAAATAAAACTGTTAAGAGTGACATTAAATTTCATATTTCTTAAGAAAGGTATCTAATTAATTTATAGGTACCTTTCTTATGAAATTTTATCAGAATTGTACATAAAATACTATAATTTTATGTACATTTATTACATTCTACTGTTATTTGTATTTGCATTCATTTTATTATTAATTTTGATATTTCATTTATGGAAAAATGTCGTAACTGAGATTAATATAAAAATAAGATCTTATAAATTTCATAAGATGATACTGATACTTGTAGGTATCCTTCTCAGTTGAAATTGAAAAATCAAATTAACTTCTCCCACGTGTTTCGCAAAAAGTAAAGGCCTTAACAGCGGAGAACAATGCTTAACTCAAATAACGCAACTTAATTATATTCTGGTTGGTCTTCCGTATTTTATAATTACAGCTCGATTATAAGCACAAAATTACATTTCTTAATTACTGGGGATCTTCTGATTAGTCAAAATGATACAATTTACAACACGCTAAAAAAAAAGATCTATCTCATAAGGACACTTATGAAAGCCGATGCGGCTTTTAACTAATTTTATAATATTTTAACAACTTAAATGTAAAATCTATTATAATTAATGAAATAACAAATAATTGTATTAAAAATTCATTTTTCATCGAAAAATTTTTTTTGCTTTCAGAAAATATTGTCCATATTCATAAAAACAACTAAAAGCAAATAAAAGCATTTGAAATTAAATAATATATTTGTTTTATTGAGTTTTGTATGTTACAATTCACAGCTGATTTTCAGGTACTGCGTATCCAATTAAAAACAAAAAAAACATGATTTGCATTCCTCAAAGCCCTGTGCTTTTAATTATTGTAATCACTAAAACCTATGCGATCGAATTTCTAGCGTTTTCATAAAATTAGTTAGGGGGGGGTAATAAATATTTTTTTAAAATATTTCTACCATGACTTTCATAAAAAAAACATATTTATAATAATTTCGATCATCTGTGAATAGTTCCTGAAAGTTTCATTAACATCCGATAATTATTTCTATTTTTGCACGATTTTTCAAATTAATGTGTGTCATACCAAAAAAACGTGCTAAAAATTGTCTATGTTATTTAATAGTTCCGCTGATACAAATAGAAACAAGGTTTTTTTAATCAAAATTTAGAATTTTCTAAAAAGAAGGAAATTTTTTTAAAAATAATTAAAAAAAACTTTGGTCTTTCCTCTTAATAATAACATAAGCATTTAGGCAATAAAATTTTGTTTTCGGCAAGGTTGGCGTCTTTTTCATCAAGCTATGCTCTTTTTTTAGCGATTTCGTGGAGGTACCTAGTTAAACTACTATTTATTATTATTCAACACCCACACAGCAAACATGGACTTTATACTCCAACTACGCAAATAAAGGATCTTAGCCACAGTTTCTGGGGGAGATTGCATAATTTGGCTTGATCAACTAGGGTAGTAAACTTAAAATGCTGGAATCCTTTCCCCAGGGCAATAAAAACAAGAAGTAATCTCCTTGACAAATCCACTACATCGAGATTCGAACACAGGACTCCCGTTCGGAACACCGACTTACTAACCAGAAAAATCATGGCTCCATCAACCCCTAACCGATGAGTTAAATAGTTACATTGACTAGACTGAATACTTGGTGAGCCAGGTAATTTAGAAGAGAGAAAAAATAAACTCCCATTGCCTGGTCGATATCTTTAGGTGAAGAGAAGGGTAAAGAATATATACCCTACGAATATCCAAGGCGAAGCTCCTATGGCAGCTGGATGGCGTACTGCGTCATTTCCGGCAGGCTGCACTGGTATTAAAATACATTCGTTTGCCCTTACTTTTAAACTCTGCCGAATACAGAAAGGGGATCTTGACGTATGGGCAGCGCAAGATCTCCCCCGCCCAGGTCTGCAGCTCTGTGTGCTCCGCCATAGCATTCCCTCAAGATAGAGAGAGAGAGGGAGAGAGAGAGAGCAAGCAAGAGAAAGAAAGAAAGCAAAAGAGAAATATTTTAGGAAAAAGAAAAGAGTATTACTCCCTTATACTTAGTAAAAGAGACTGAAGAAAGAAAGATTGTCGAAGGTCAGAACAATGCCATACGATATTAAAAAGATATATACAAAAGCCAAAACAAAACACGACAAAAAATAACAGAAATTAAAAAAAAATAAATAAATAAATAAAAATGCTGCTGAAGACTATATTCTTGGATAAAATAATACAAAAGGAAGCCAGTCTAAACGAAGCAAATAGGAAGAGAAAATAATGCCTAAGCAAAAGCGCCGGGAAGAGATGGTAGGTAATGAGAATAACGCAATAATAGCAAGGGGAGACAATCGATATCGAAATAAAAGGCATCAGTGTACTTAAACAGACTGTTATCAATTTCTTTCCATCGATGATTGGGAAAACGCTGTCTTTCTTTCCTTCCTATCATTATGTCCAAACATATTTTTCTAAAGGCAGTTCATTGATATACGATGACTCGTTGGCTTGGATATTTCTAAAGAAGAAAAGAAAATGCACATATAGCCATAGATAAAGTACTAAATCACTCTCTCAACGCGCTAAGAAGGAAATACATTGAAAGTGCACTGATCTCACAATTCTCTACGGTCAAACTCAGACCGGGCTCATACACAGTATCACCGATCATCGAAAAAGAAATAGTATCACAATGAGTTCTACGAAGTAATATACATACATATATATATATATATATAGAGAGAGAGAGGGGGGGAAGAGAGAGAAGCAGAGATTCATTCGGAGTCAAATTTTAACTCCAGCGGTCGTTGACGGCTTAAATACAAAAATCAACAAATAAAAAACAGACAAAAAATTTTCTGGTCGTAGTATCTGATAAGGTTATTTATTATCATTTTCTAAAACGAAACCCAACGTATTTTGCTTACACACTGCGATTTGTCTCTCATTTTGACCCGAAGTTACCATAACGTAGAGAAACTCGCCCTTTGTAAAAGTTTGACCAGTTCGTCTCATCATCTCCATATTACCTCCGAGTGCAAATCAATTATGAAGGCAGAATTGAAAGTTCTTATTGTGATTAGTGAGTACATGCTCAACATGACCTTGTGCCAGATGAGGCTTAGCCTAGCATTTTTCTCTAATTGAAAGATTCATAGTTATAGAGGATGCATCGTAAGCCATTGATGATTAAGTAATATTTAACTGCTCCACAATATAGCCTTGTGCCATACTATGCGATATCTAGTTATTACATCACTTTTTCCTGGCGGTAACAATCGATCTTCAGGTTAAGGAAAAGACAAGAATATTATTTGGAATTTCAGATTAAGATTTTTTTTTGTTTTGAAAAGGCTGGATCTTTGTAATCTTTTAATCTCAGAATCGGCAAATGATTTGGTGGTTGTGCTAGATTGGCTTATATTTTAGTTTCCTTCGGAGGTTTAATTTAACGGTATATCAACCCATGATGAATTACTTAAGGTAGAATATAAGTCACGTAGGATAAAGCTCACAATTAATCAATATATTAATAGATAGGTAGATATAAATCTTATTTACACTTGAGTCAAATAGGTACGTAGAAATCCGATTTCTAGATACTTTTATAAAATGAAGATACGGGTCCGGTTTAGACATGCGTCAAAAGGTAGACATTGATCCGGCGAAACTTGAGTCAATAGGTAGACATAGGTCCAGTTTACACTAGTCCAAAAGGTAGACATTGATCCGGGTGACGAATCAATAGGTAGACATAGGTTCAGTTTACACTAGAGTCCAAAAGGTAGACATAGATCCGGGTGGCAACTGAGTCAATAGGTAGACATAGGTTCAGTTTACACTAGACATAGATCCGGGTGACACTCGAGTCAATAGGTAAACATAGGTCCAGGTTTATACTAGATTCCAAAAGGTAGACATAGATCCGGATGACACTCAAGTCAATAGGTAGACATAGGTCCAGTTTACACTAGAGTCCAATAGGTAGACATAGATCCTAAAAAAATAAAGTCCGTTTCTCACATCTGCATAGACTACGAAACCTAAAAAATGAACTTTTTTATTCTTTATTTATTTATTTCTTACATATTATTGATGTGATTTTAAAAACGTACAGCGATTTGATTCTATTTTTAGACTAAATTTAAAATGTTTATTATATTCTAACAAAAAGCCGTTTCTTTATATTTAAAATCTACTACCAATTTCTTAAATGTTTAGACCACAAATTAAAAAATAAGCACTTTTTTCTTTATTCTCTCTCTCTCTCAAAATTTATCAATGTAAATTTTAAAAAAGCAAAATGACCAGCATATCGATTTTTTTCAACTATATATAAAATTTTAATTACATTTTAAGTGGGGATCCGATTAGGTGAATTAGTTATTTAAAAGAAATTGTTTATAAAAATATATTGGTGCTCGGATTTTAATGATTCACCATAAAATAACTAATCCGATTATTTTAATCTTTTTTAATCAATTATTCTAATTTATTCGTCTTTTCGTTATCAAAACAACACAGTTATTAGTTAAACCCGCTTAAAAGAAAGATAATCAAATTTACTGATTTTATTTGAATTTCATTGACATTTTAATAAATAGCAGTTCTCGCATTAAAGTTTTAAATATATCCCCTATTTGGTTAATTTTTTTTTTCAATTAATAATAACTTCTATCATTATTAGGATAATAAATAATAAAATATTTTCACAATCCCAATTTTTGGAAAAGATAATGGAGTTTTAATTTTCTTTCTGTTTTGTTATATTTTAACAAGACACGCAAATTAAAAAAATAAACACTCTTTCTTTCTTTCTTTCTTTCTTTCTTTCTTTTCTTTTCTTTTCTTTTCTTCTTCTCTCTCTCTCTCTCTCTCTCTCTCAAACATTATTAAAGTGATTTAAAAACAAAATGGCCAGCATGTCAATTCTTCCTTTTCAACTAAATATAAAATTTTAATCACATTTTAAGTGGGTATCGGATTAAGTGAATTAGTCAGTGCGTATTCGTGGTGTGAGTGTGCATAATTGGGTCTTGTTTTCTTAAATGAACCACCTTGTCTACATGAAATGGTGACAACTGTTGTGTCAGTTCAGAAGAGACAACGTCATCATTTACCCACCCCCGCCTCAAACAGTGATTTTCAACCTCTAGTATATTTTCAATTTATTTTATTTCCTTCTGTCTGTGAGTAACCCACCTGTTCAATAGACGAATTTCTTCGGGGGAAGTCTATCAGATGAAATAACATTTCGACGAAGTGTATTGTCCGATATATTAACGATCAATTTTCCCTCATATACTCTCTCTCTCTCTCTCTCTCTCTCTCTCTCTCTCTCTCTCTCTCTCTCATGTCCTATCCCTTTCGTCTCTTCTTCCTTTTTTCCCTCACGTATTTTTTGTTCTAAATGACAGGATGAATTGACAGCAATTGAAAAGCAAGAGACAAGATCTGTAGTGGTAATGGTAATATCAACCACTACCCTCCAAGGAAACATTTGGCATCCATTGACCGAGAAACCATCTTTCTCCTAAGACAATTTTTCAGAAAAAGAGATTTCTCAAATTCAATATCTATGATCGCTCTTTCCTCTATTAATGAATGTTTACTTCCTGATCTTTTATTTGAAGCAATATGGACGGTCAATACTTTGATTATGTCATCAGTTACTCTTCGAATTACATGTGCCATCCATTTTAGTTGTTGCTGCTTTTGGTAATTCTCAAGTAATGTAGTTTCTGTTATCTGGTACAGTTCATTGTTTGTGATTCTGTAGCGCCAGTCCACAATCTTCAAAGGAGAATGGTCTTATGTCAAGACTTCAGATGCCACTCGTCACTGAAAGCCATTTTTAATCATTGATCTGAGAAAGCGATCGTATACAATTGGCAGTTTATGTAAAGTAATTGGCCGTGACTAAATGTGATTGGCAGAAATGACCAACAGACAGAATTGACAAAGTTTACAATAAACATTAACAAAAGAAAGAAAAGAAAAGAACATGGTAAAAATAATACTGAGCAAACAATGTATGCAAGACAAAGCAACAGAAATAAGGTAAAATTTCTACAAATTAAGAATGATGTTATCACACAAAAGGGATACAGACCAGCGATCGCAGCGTCCCGACTTCAAGACAACAAAGAACAGAAATATATTGTGTGAGATCGATAAATGGCCGATAGTATTGGCTAGAAAGAAATGCCATAATGTATCTGTATTTCTTTTTGTCTGTAAATTTTGGGTTTAGCAGTCATTTCTCCAACGATTAAAAAAATTCTCAAAAAAACGCCATTTTGGGAGATCATTTTTTCCTTGTTTTATCGTTTTTGTTCCTTGTTGTATTGTGTTTGGCAAAGTGATCACATTTTTTGTTTACTGTTTCCGCATGTTGAAATTTCGTTTTTCCTCATTTTTGCTGTGTGGTGTGCTCGGCCGAAATAGCGGAGCCTCCCGAGCAGTCGGATAGGCAGGAGCAAACCTGCTTCAACGGTAGCGTCATCTTGGGCCTCCACTAGGCGCATTACCAGGAGTTTCTAATAATACACCCCTTATAATGGCATCAGAAAAAGAAACTGCTGACGCTCTGGACAATTGTTCAAGGCGTATCCTGGAAGACATCCGGCGCCTGAGTCCACACCAGCAACAGCGAAGGGAGCGGTGGGGCCTTCAATGGCCGATAAAGTACGCGATGGTCTTGGTTGAAAGGTGGCAGTGAGGAAGGGAACAAAGTGTTCCTGAATCCCTCACCACAGAAGGATATTCCGGTCAAGCAGCAACAAAAGCAGCAGCAGAAGCCGTAACAACATTGTCCTTCAGTGTAGAATTGGCTGCTATCCAGAAAACTCACTTTGTTTGCCTGTATAGTTTAGCGACTTTGTTGTCTATTCAAAATAAGAAAACCGACTGGCCTAAGGAGTTTCCTTGCTGGTGAAAAGTTCCCTGTGTGTGAGGGCGAATCTTTTACATGTCGGCATGGTGGGAGGGGTCGGTTGTTCGTGGCTGACATAGCAGTGAAAACAGTTCTTTTCAAGTCCTTGAAGTTTATGCGTTAAACGATCAGTAGGAGGGAGTGTTGTTCGTACTTCCGCCAATTGGGACCATTCCTGGTGGATCTGGCGTGTCTACTTTTAATTGGAGACCGGAATGCCATCCTGGACCCCAAATAAGACAGGACAGGGAAAGATGGACTGATCGTACTCTGGTTGGTCTTATCGAAGAATTTGGTCTCGTCGATATCGGCTCGATCATTCCGAACGGGAGATATAGACGTGGCCCCTTAATTCACCGTCTATCTTGTTAGATTGTTCCATGTTCCATTGGGTAGCCTATTTGTACCACAAACGTGATTTTTTCCCGGATGCTGTTAGATACTCGACCTAGAATCGCTGTACACTGGAAGTTCAGCGTGTCATTGCTGGATAGGGAGGACTTCCAGTTAAATATGACTAGATTAGGGCATCGGGAATTAGTTTGGTGGGTAGTTGCGAATAGGTGGTGGGAGAACCTTAAGGCTAGATCTTTAACCACAGAATATAATCAATGATTCGTCGCAGATAAGATGGTGAAGACATTAAAGGATAATCTGACCCGTGCAGTAGCTGAGAAGTGTCCCCTAGAGATAGACTTAGAAAGGCAGGCTGTGGAGCATTCGGCTAGTAAGCACTATCAAGGCCAAGTAGTTAGGGCTAAGTTAACAAAAATGTCTAACGAAGCGGTAAAAATGGGCGCATAATTGCGCATGAAGTCGACATTCTGATCGTTACATTCGTCAGGTCAGTATCTCAGATGAAGGTAGCCTGCGGGCGATCAACGACATATGCGAGGCAACATTTCCAAAATCGGTTTACCAAAGTGCCTGGTCTCTATGAGTAGAGTTTCACAGATATTCAGCTGATTTTCCTCGACTCTCGTCCACTGAAGCAACTGACAGTGAGGGTAAGATCATGGAGTGCAAAGCCCACAAGGCTTTGAAGAGAGTCTGCAGTTCCAAGCCTCCGAAACTTAATGGTCCGTCCTACGAATTGTACTTAAGGTTGTCACCTGTTTGTACCAATCTTGACAGGTTCCGTCAGTGTTTGTCCCCGATCTAATCTCGGTGGGTGGGTGATCATGCTGTAAAATAAGGACAAGCACGCTTGGACGGAACTATATGACTACAGGACCATAACTCTACCGAAAACAGTGTTAATGATTTGGGCCAAGATTTGCAGTAAGTGAGCGCGTTTGCAGCCCGTTTCCGAGATTCTGTGGCGACCGAAGCAGACTTGTGTTGTTAAGGACCGAACAATAATAATAATTTGGATCAGTCTAAGGCATTTGACGGGGTCGACCATCAGTACTTAAGGGCTGTCCTGCAGTCCACCGAATTCAAACCCGACTTCTGCAAATAGATTAACCTTATTTCTGTATCACTACCTCAGTGCGGATGTACAGGTGAATGGAATGCAGTTGTCAGAGTTATCTACTGTGGCCATTACTCTAAACGCTGGAACCCCTCCTGCGCAGGTTGAAGGACAGAATTTGAGTCCAGCCCTATGGGGAATCGGTCTCACTGGAGCGGATCGAGCCAGTGTTTCCGCATACGTCGATGACGTATCTATTTTCTTGTCGTACCGCAGCGATATTGAGGTGGTACAGATTGCACTTGAATGTTACAAGAAGGTTACGAGGGCCTAGCTAAGTCTTCTGGTTTGCGCTTGAGGTGTTGGAAGGGCCTTTGCTCTACCACACCACTTTAGTTGGACTGATTCTCCCGTACGCATTCTTGGGGAGTGGTTCTTTAGCTGGAGAAGAATTGTTCGAAGTTACATGCAAAGGTAGGAGCGGCAGCCTGTACTTGGTCCCGACGGCGGTTGTCTTTTAGGGGGGTAGCTGTGTACATCTTTTCCCTTTCCTTTATAGATGGGATCTTGTGATTATTGTGTAAATTCTTAGATTTGATTGCTCGTGAATCGTTCTAGCTAGATATAGGATAGCCAGTGTTGACCAGCTTTTCCGGCGCCCCCTTTGATCTTGTGCCACATACGTATGTACTCACTTATAAAATAAACATTCCCATTGCGGACTAGAATAATCAAGTTAGACATTTCTGAACGGATTTGGTAGGACATCCATATGAAAGTCTCGATCTGATGAGACTATTAAAGAGCATGACTCGAGATTTCATGTTGATATTGAACAGAAAATATTAGGAAAATGAGAAATGGGAAGAGAAAAAGCGATAAAGAATTGGAATAATATTGCTGAGAACAGAAAGATATATAATAACATTTAATGGCTAGAAAACCAAAGATGTAACGTAGATATACTTCAAAAGTAGACAGTCCCTGGGTCAGGCGGAGTAGAAGAAAATCAAGCAAAAGAAAAAAAGATAGAAGTTTCAACGTGAAAATATATAAACTGTGATGAATAGATATCTTCTTCTAAGTGCCGTGTCCTTTCGAGACATAGGCGATAATGGCTCTCCACAATTTCCTGTACTTTGTAGAGCTTAATAAAATTTGTCTTTTTGTTATCTCTCGTAAACCTTGTTACGACCTGCATTTGCAAAAATTCGCTAGATAGGTCATGCGTTGTTTCTGGGGGTTTTTTTTGGGGGGGAGCGGGGTCCCTTTTGCTTTCAATCTGCCTTGTGAGTATAAAATTTTCCAAGCAAACTTTCCTCATTATGTGCCCTAGAAATGTCAACACTCTCTTATTGAACTTAAGTATGTGTCCTTTTTGTTCCCATGCTAGGGACATGGTATTCTCGACATCCTTCTGTAAGATCACTGTGATAATATAGATATCTTCTTCTATATGCCGTGTCTTTCCAGGACGTAGGCCATCATGGCTCTCCTGTATTTTGTAGAGCTTAATAAATTTGGTCTTTTTTTTATCTCTCGTAAACCTTGTTACGACCTACATTTGCAAAAATTCGCTAGGTAGGTTATGCGTTGTTTTTATTTTCGTGTTTTTCCCCTTTTTCTTTCAAATCTGCATTGTGAGTATAAAATTTTCCAAGCAATCTTTCCTCATTACAGGCCCTAGAAATATCAACTCTCTCTTATTGAACTTGAGTATAAGTGTCCTTTTTGTTTCCAATATACCTGGTATTCTCAGCATCCTTCTGTAGAATCGCATTTCTGTTGCTTCAATTCTCAACTGCATATGTGAGGAGATTGTCCGGCATTCACAGTTATGTAGAAGGACGGTTGCATTTGCGATCATGGCTCTCACCTATTTCCAGTCCTTTGTAGCTCTTAATAAATATTGTCTTTTTGTTATCTCTCCAAAACCTTGTTCCGCCAACCATTTACTCAAGTTCACTAAGCAGGTTGTATGTTGTTTTCTTCTCTTCCCCTTGCCTTCAATCTGTCCTGTGAGTAACAGATTTGCCAATCCCTCTTTCCTCATTATGTGCCCTAGGAATTTCAATTGTTACTTCCTGACGTTAAGTAAAAGTATAGGATGCATATAAAATAAGTACAACATGTGAAATCAAAAATAAAAATGAGATATAAAGGAAAAGAGTAGTAAATAATTAATCGCCCAAAAGTTGGTAGCTCCATTTTTTCGCTGAAAAACAGCATAGCATCATGAAAAAAAGGCCCCACACTTAATAAAAATACATTTTTATCGTCAAATTGTTTCTGTTATTATTAAGAGGAAAGAACAAAGTGTTTTTTTTTTTAATTATTTAAAAAAATTACCTCCTTTCTAAGACGTTCGAAATTTGGGTAAAAATTCTTCCTTTTTGGGGGGAGTTTTTTTGTCCACTGTGTAAGATTTATGGTAATGGACATTTTCGTGTACCCATTTCCGGTAAAATGACACATCAATTTGTAAATTCTTGCAAAAATCAAGTAATCGTCAGATTTTAAGGAAACTTTAAGGACTTATTCAAAAATGAATTAATTAATTTTTCAAACTTTTAGAAAATTTTGGTAATTTTTTTTTTTTTGCGTCTGTTACGACCCCCTTTACTTAATTTCATAAAATTTTCTAAAATTTCAAATCGTCAAAAAATTGCATTTTATTAGTTAAAAGCATGACTCCTTGGCAAATGTAAATTATCAGTTTTTCTTTTTTTTCAATTCTCAAAAACTTTTTACAAATCCGCTCCAAATCGTAAACAAAAAACTGCACGAAATTATTTTATTAGATAGGCCTTTATTTGCTTTTATAAATAATATATATTAAGGACATTATTGTCTGAAAAAAAAAATGGCTTTTCGATGAATAATAAATTTTTTCAAGAATTGTTTGCATTTTTCTTTTTTTAATTATAAAGTTTCAAAAATGTATATTTGGACTCTTTTTATTTTTGAGCTTTACATGAATATGGCAGACAAAATTTAATCGATTTCTTATTTAGTTTTTCAAGTGTCCTTACATTTTTCCTTTCAGTAGGAGTAAGGGAGTACAAACATTACATTTTCCATTATATAATATATATATATATATATATATATATATATATATATATATATATATATATATATATATATATAAAGAAAAAGATGCTGCAATCGTTTTTTGTTACAATGTGGATTTTTTAATATATATCATACTTTATTTTCAATATTTTTTTCGGATCTATCTATCTATCTATCTATCTATCTATCTATCTCAGTCTGTTAATATCTATTTATCTATATATGTGTCTATCTATATCAACCTGTTCATATCTATCTATCTATCTATCTATCTATCTATCTATCTATCTATCTATCTATCTATCTATAAACGGACTGAGATAGATATCCAAACGTTAACGGCGTGATATGAATATATAAGTCCATAGCAGAAATCTTCTAAAATGTACCGATTAGCGTTTTGACCTATAAATATGATAACAGCAATTGTCTGTCGGGCTATTAACTGAATTAAAAGGCATCAGTGAGAAAAATATATGACACGTTCGAGACAGATAGTGGATTTGTAGCTGAAAGAAAAAATATATATTGAAAGACTTGTACATCATAATAGAAACTGGTCATAGCGTTAAAAATATGATCAAATATACCAGAAAGTGAACACACACACAAACATATATATATATATATATATATATATATATATATATATATATATATATATATATATATATATATATATATATAATTAATATATATATATATATAATTGTGTATTTGTAGCAATCACTGTTTTATACAAGTTTCACTAAAGACGGCTGACAAGGTACTGCGACTTATATTTTTATTTAATTTTTCTTGTGTTTGTTTAATTTTTTTCCTTTCTGGATAGAAAGTATTAGTTGGTGCAAAATAATGACGTAATAATGTCGTTTTTTGATGTATTTTTTAACGTCAAAAAACGACATTATTACGTCATAATTTTTGCACCAAACTAATATGTAAAAAGTGTCCGAATGTTCTATATATCCAAGCACTTTCGGCCATTCTATTAGCCATTATCAAGGATATTTTTTGTTTTGGTTTTTAAAAGAATGTGTAGATATCCTATAGTAATAGGAATATTTCTTATTTTCCAAACACAGTTAGCACATTGTGGCCGTGTTCATAGTTGATTTGATTGAGTGTTGGCTTTTCCTTCTTTTTCTTTTCAACCAATCAAATATGGCCTACGTTAAATTTAAACTAAGCTATGAAGTAAAAATTAATAATTTTTTTTTTTTAAAATGGTTCATGACCCGCAGATTGGGAGCTAACCGTAGCCAGGTATAAATAGGAGCGGGTGTGAATACATACATAAATTATACAAAGTCTCTGTAATTTAGATCTTGCACAGTAGTTTTTGTTGTTGTTGACGATAAGGTCAGCTATTTTAAATTTTATATAGTAGATAATACATTTAATTTTCTTGTTCTGGTTGCCTGGTGTTGTGTATTTCTTTATAATGCTTGTAAGAGAAAATTCATCTTATATATATATATATATATATATATATATATATATATATATATATATATATATATATATATATAAAGTTGTATATTTAGGCAGCAATCATTCCTTTTACACCCTTTGTCCAGAAAAGAAAGCTCTTGTCAGAACACAAGAAAAATTGAATAAAAAAGCTCAACCGTAGTAATTTTTGTCTGTCGTTTTTAATGAAATATATATATATATATATATATATATATATATATATATATATATATATATATATATATATATCAGGCTATTACACCGAAAAATATGTCAAAATCGCTACTTAATTGTAGTCGTGTTTCGATGCGTATCACTGCATCTCATCAGGCGATTGTAAATTACTGGCGAATGAACGATTTATTGAGATTTAAAAAGAAAATACAATATCTTTTTACGAAAAGAGAAAAAAAATACGGGGGGAGCTCTAAAGTTTGTGGGCATTATTCTGATCAGCAAATCAAATATGACCTAAGTTAAGTTTAAAGAAAGCGAAGAAGGAACAATTAAAAAATATTTTTTATAAATGGGTCATGACCCGTAGATTGGGAGCGAACTGTAGCCAGACATAAACTAGAGTGGATATGAATGCATACATAAATTATACAAACTAGACAATGCCATTTTCTAAGAAATAAAAATGGGGTGGTGAGGTAATTATAGTTATATGCTTTGTGAGTTTCCTACTTTTTTTTTATAGTTGATAAATAAATAGCTTCTTTAAAAAATGTAAAATGTCAAAATTACCAACCAAATACCAATACATCCTTACAAGATGTTACTAATACGACCAGGAGATTAATACAAAATTATATTTTTTACATATGGATGAAGGTATTATACTTCTGTTTTCTACAAATATGTTGCAGCTGCAGTTTGGAGGCGTTTCGTCTGTGTTTAAATGTGCTATGATTAGAGATGTGTAATCTGAGTCGTTTTGATAGGGAAATTGGGGTATGGCCAATATAATTGATCATGAATTTGGTTCGATAAGGAACACAGTTCGTTAAGAGGAATATGATTTCATAAATAATATTGACTCTCTGCAATTTAGATTTGCACAGGAGTTGTTGTTGCTGCTGACGATAAGGTTAGCTATTTTAAATTTTATATAGTAGATAATACATTTAATTTTCTTGTTCTGGTTGCCTGGTGTTGTGTATTTTTTTATGATGCTTGTAAGAGAAAATTCATTTTCCTTCCACATATATATATATATATATATATATATATATATATATATATAAGTGAGATTTCTTTATATATATATATATATATATATATATATATATATATATATATAAAATTAAATAAAAGCAGACCACTTTAAGGTTCCATGTAATAAATTATTTCATCGCAGCCCTTTTAAAGGACAGGATCTTCAGACTTTACTTCCAAACAAAAAATGAAAAGAAAATTTACACATTTTTGACGGGCCGTATTAAACATATGTAAATTAACGAAGTGAGGAAGTGAAAGAGAAGACATGAGTGAGTTAGCAGATATTGACACATTTAAACGGTTAACTTAACGGAAGTTATATATTGATATCGAAGGGGTAGAGAAGAAAAAACCCATAGAAAGAAAAAGAGAGAAGGAAGTTATGAGAGAAGATGTCACTAATTTTCTTTGAAAAAAAGGCTAGAAACAGACGCTGTTATTTTGTTTTACTTTGAAAGTGTTATTTTGGGGGGGGTGTCATAAAGATTATAATGTTTAATATAAATTTGAATGTCTCTAAACTGTCTACAAATAATTAATTTTGATGTTTGTTTTTCAATTTTGTTTAAATTTTGGGGATTTTCTATGAAATAGTCGATTAGAAAAATATTCATAGAAAGTACATCAAAAGAATAAAATTTTATTTTAAAATATAACTTTACTTCTAGTAATCTTTCTTTTAATCTCTTTAAAAAAAATTATTATTGATTTTTAAGTTGAACTCTCAACTCTATATATTAGGATATTATACCGAAAACATGTCGAAGTCGCTACACCATTGCAGTCGTGTTTCGATGCGTATCAATGCATCTCAACAGGCGATTGTAAATTACTGGTGAGTGAACGATTGATTTAGATTTTAAAACAAAGTACAACACAAGGGGGTTATAAGGTTTGTGGGCTTTACTCTGATCAACCAATCCAGTTTGACCTACGTGAAATTTAAACTAATGTCATTTCCTAAGAAATATAAATAGTGTGGAGATGTAGTTAACAAAATGTTAAACAAGTTATATGCTTTGTGAGTTTCTTACATATAATTTTTTTTATTGTTGATAAATAAATAGCTTCTTTAAGAAATGTAAAATATCAAAAATACGAACCAAATACCAATGCATCCGTACAAGATGTTACTAAAATTACCAGGAGATTAATACAAAATTATATTAATTCCAAATTAATCTAACAAATAAAAAGATAATCATATATGGTGAAACGCAGTACAACTAAAATATAAGAAAAGGCGTAATCAAATTCCAAAGTTTAATTAAATTATAAGATAAAAGGTAAACTATGTTAACAATTTACATTTAATTCATTCCTTTGATTTAATAAGAAGTTTTTATTGAATCTGATAAATTTCCAGTTTTTCATGTAAACATAGAAAACAGGGTTCATATAAAGATCTACATGTCTTTGCCGTTTTTAAAATTTTCCATTCCACCTTAGGGATATTATTATCATCTTTTACATTCCCAAAATATTTAGAAAGTGATGTATTATTTCTGTAAGTATTATTGGTGAAGGACAAGGTATGTTGATACCACCTCGTTTTGAAAAAATTCTTAGTACTACCAATATAGAATTTTTCAATCGTCGAATTCTCTATTGCAGAGATAGTACAAAGTAAACAAATTAAATTAAATGTTACGAACGTTGGAATTGTACTCTATTCGTACCTGGATATATATATATATATATATATATATATGTGTGTGTGTGTGTGTGTGTGTGTGTGTGTAAAGAGTGACAGTGCGCTCGAGATTAGGGAACATAACTTTAGTAGGCCATAGATCGAAGAAAATCTAACGTAATATTCTGCAGCGTACGCCAAATATTAACATTCTCATTTCTCAATCCAGGTGTATAGATGGCAGTGAAATCGTAGCTTTCAGTGTAAAGAAACGTCATTGGCTCTACACAAACCCCCACCACGAGGATACCCACATTAATGACCATATACTTCACGTCATTTGTGATAGTCTTGAAGGCTTTGATAATGAGGAACGCGTCGTACAGCCGAATGTCATTCCTCAGGACCTCAGGCCAATGCCATCGCTTACAACAAAGCCTTGAACACTATAGTCAAGCCTTGGATAGAGGACGCGCCTTTACAATATCTAGTAAGTTCCTTCTAGTAGGTTCTTTCTAGTAGGTTCCTTCTAACACATGTACAAGGGGAGCCTGGTTGAGTATTCTCATAATCATGTCACATCCAGGCTAGGACCTCTTAGTCATCCTGATCTGAATACTTGTACTACTAGGTCTTAGATATTGGTAAGAAAGTAAACAGTCCCCAAATTAAAGGGATCGTTGTAGGCTATCACTATGAATGTCATACTCAACCACATGATACAGGGGCACATCGAGACAAAGTGGAATATATATATATATATATATATATATATGTGTGTGTGTGTGTGTGTGTGTGTGTGTGTGTGTGTGTGTGTGTGTGTGTGTGTGTGTGCACTGAAGTCAACACGCAGAGGCGACAGGCTGTTTCATGCTGGACGCAAAACAAATAAATAAATAAATAAGCCACTCCCGCAAAATTAACCGCCAGAGTAGATAACCCACAATGCATCACTGACCCATATTATAAATAGCCGAGGAAATATCCAGCATTC